TTAAAATATGACTTTAGTTGACCTTGAGCCGTACGTAAAATTAAGGCGCCGGCGTTCGCGGATCGCCTGCACTAGTGACGTTCTGGAATAAGTCGGTAATTTGTATTGCTTTGTTGATTTCTACATATTATAACACTTAAGTTTGGGTTTTTTATAAATAATAAAATCGTTAATAAATATGAAATTAGAATAGGTAAATATTTAGTTGATAATTTGATAAAAAACAGGATGTTTTTTATTAATTTAGCATCAGGAACTTCATATGTGGTACAACACTAGTCTGCGTGAAATCACGGGTTTGGCGAAGTAGGTTGATATTTATATGTATCGTGAACTGAGAATCATTAGTTATTTCATTCAATTAGCTAAAATATATATCTAGTACTGTTAAAAATAAAGTAATAACACGAAATATACTAAGATTTAGTAAGTAAATTCAACATTTATTTAACATTTTTCAAATGATAGGACTTTTACGCAATATTCAGTCTTGGCGCGTGGGGTACTATGCTTACAATACGCAATATTAAGGTGATGGCGGTTAAAGGGTTAAGCATAACCTTTCAGTATTCGGGCGTATATCAATCATAAGTGGCGCTATGTTGTAAACAGACTAGGCTGTTGAATCGGCTGATTTTCATTTCGGCTGTATTTCGATTAAGATCATGTGATCATAAAATTAAACAACATAATACAGTTTAAAACTTAATATATTAAACCCAGTTTACATTCTTATTTATTAATTTAGACAAATATTCAATAAACTCTATTCTTAATGTACGCTGCTATTCTTGAAGAGCTGCTTTCCAATCTGTAACACAAAGTTTAAGGTTAGGCAATTCTTAACCTAATGGTGATTAATAAAATTTAATTAATTGTCAGATAATAAATCAAAAGGGAACAATATTTTTCATCAAATATGTATCATTGCGAGCTAGGTGGATCATCATTGTAAAATATAAAATAATCTATATAAAAATACTTTATCGAGTTGGAAGTAACAAAAAAATAGGTAAAAGATATAACAAAGTTAATCAAATTAATAAAAATATGGAAAGAATGCTCACCTTAGAGAAGTAGATGAAGGTAAGATTTATGACCAACAAATTAAATTGAAATAAAAGACACACAATTCAGATTTTTAGATGTATATTAACTTAAACGCTCTCTTGAACGGGAGGTTCGTAGCCTTCAGGGCGCTCCGATTTGTCACCGGCCTCGCCCCTCTTGCCACTGCCACCTTCTCCATGAAGTTCCATAAGCTTGGAGATCTCGAAACGCGGCCTCTTCAGAACCTTAACCTGGGGGGGATTAAGTTTATTTTGTCAGTTGGTGATTATTAGCAGGGTGGTGATTAATGAAGTTTTGATTAATTTCAGACAATAAATCAAAAGGGAACAATAGTTTTCATCAGGTGTGTATCATTGCGAGCTAGGTGGATCATCATTATAGGTTTTTTGTTTGAGTTGATAAATCTGCTTTCAAAATAATTGCGTAGACATATCAACTCAAAACTGTAGATTTAGCCGCACGTCAATGGTATAAAAAAGAAGTCTAGAATGAACTGATTTGAACATTACTTTTGGATTTTCTTATATAAAAAGACATGCGGCTAAAATCTTGAAATTAG